TGTCTGTGAGTCTCGAGTGTAAAACCGTGTTCAGACTCAATAAACGTGTCGTCTCGTCTGTCCTCAGATATGGCGGGTGTGTCAGTGTGTCCTCCTGTTGCTCTGGACACGGGCATGGGGCTCCTGTGTCGGCTCTTTGAGCTTTGGGGGCAGGTTCCCGCTGGTGTCCTCGCATTGACAGAGTGGCTGCTGGGAGACAAAGACGACAACGACAAGGCAGTTTCAGACGATGCTTCCTCTCTGGTGAGTATCACTCAGAGGTCACGCAGGAGCAGATCAAATATTGACAATTTACAAAGTTTTACAAGAACAACACTGTACCAAGATATTTTTGAGACAGTAGACGACATGTACCAAAAATCTTTTCACTTGCAATCATCAGTTTTATTTTCTGTCACAGTCCAAACTGTGAGGACAGAATAAACAGGAAACTGGTCCTTGAGAATGAATCAGCTTCATCGATACAAACGCTGCTTCTTAAGGCACTTCAAGCAACAGTTGAGCTCGGGTTTAAGAATCTAGTTCGGAAAAACAATATCATCATCTTTGAGTTTTATGATAGAACACTGGTTAACGCTAAATTAAGAGTGTGATTCAAGTTGATTTAACACTGTGTTTGTAAAGTGTGGAAACTCAGGAACCAACAGAACAATATATTTTTTATTGTCGCTCTTGTTTTACTCACAGTAGCAGACAAAATATCTGGGCATTTTATAGCCACCAAGGTTTCTGCTCTCTGACCACTGTGTTTATTTTCTTGTTTTGTTTTGGTGCCTGTTTAATTGTTGGGTTCTTTTTACTCAAGACTCGAGTTAAACAGTTGATTTTAAGACGCAGCTTTGAGCAAGTAACTGTAAACTACTGCTTCTTGTGGCTGATTGTCCAAATACCCCGAGCTGTAGAGTTGTTCTTCTTAAAGCTGCGCTACTTTCTGTTGTTTAATTAACTGTGGTCAAATGACAATGTGGAATTTGGGCAGTGTCGCTCATAGTGATGAACCCACTGAGAGGTTTCACCTAATTTTGCAGTTCCACTCAGTTTTATAGACCAATTTTACAACTTTGAGCTCACTGGTTTGGTTTTTCCAACTCACGATTGATCTGTTTTCACTGCTTTCATCTGTGCTGTTGATTCAGAGAAGAAAAAAATGATTGAATGCAGCTTGCCCAGTAGCATATTTAGTTATTAGCTGGTGATGAACAAAGCGGAGCATATAAGAGCTGACTAGTCTGGTGTTCCCTCAGGAGTTAGTGGAAACAGCTAAAAGGAGAGTAAATATCACTTGATTAAATTAGTTTGTTACTAAGAACATGACTGAAAATTAAAAGTAATGTTGCCTTATATTTGGCCACAGGGGACAATATGTCAGTTGTATGTTTATAACATAGACTGTATGTAAAGATGGACGACACGTCTCCCCTTCCACACACTATCCAGAAATGAAGCTAAAATACTTCAGATTCAAACACTACCATCTTGTGCATTTTGGAGCCAGAGTCTCCGATGTAGCTCTCAAGGGATGGAGCCATGACAGCAAGGTCTCACTGACACACACTGTTGACCAATTCCGAGTCGATCTCAGCTGTCAATCACAACACATCACCCTGTTTTCATAATCAGATAACTAAATAACAGTGAGAAGAACTACCCAAAACGACAGAAACCATCTTTGAGAGAAATGTATTTTGACGTGTTCTTTGACTGCTTAATTCGGCCCATCCACTAACATGGAGGAGGCAGGATTTATGACCCATACTGCAGCCAGCCACCAGGCGGCGATAGAGAGTCTTTGGCTTTCCTTTTGACAGTCATTTCGTCCATTTTTTTATTCAGTCAATGGTATACAACTCTTTCCACTGCCCTCTAGTGGCCGGAAAAACTACCATCCTTAACTTGCACTCTAGTAAACTGACGTTTTGCTAATGACCAGGATGAGGAGGACTTCCTGTTTGAGAAGGGGGATCTGAACCTGTGGGCCGAGCCTGTCCAGTGGGTGAAGCTGCTTCACAGAAACCTCACCTCCCTCATCCCGACCTTAAAGCGGATCCAGCACCCAGGAGCAGTAATCCTGGATCAAGCCCAGCTCCACACTCTGTCCGCCCAGGCCCAAACCAAGGCCCTCAGCTCCCAGCAGGCCCTGGAATCCCTCCCCGCCCTGCCCCAGTTCTCCTGCAGTGCGGAGCATACCCGGCTGACCCTGTGGCACCAGAGGGCCACACTGGCTCTGGATGTGCTGGAGAGGCTGAAGTAGACCAATGAGCATGGTGCATCTCTAATACCACCAGTTCAAGGGATTTGCCTGTGAGTCATAATTACGAATATTTCCCAAAAAATGTTTTTTCAGATAAATGAACCTCAGTAGACCAACACACAAGACCACAGACCGGCTTTGTAGTCTTTTTTAACTCTGTACTTGTCTCTTACTTTGTCTTACAAATGTTGCCTTCACTGTTCATCAGATTACATTTTTATGGTCACTGTTCCTTGATATCTCTTAAATAAATAAATATGTCACAAACTACTACATGATTTCAATGCTCCATTTTTCAGGAAAGACAAAGCTGTACGTCTCAATTCTTTAATAACTCTGTAACGAAGCAGGGAAAGAGAAGAAATAGTCAATATTAATATGATGTGACTACATGTGGGAACGTTTGGCAGTTGTGAAGCCATAACAATAATTCAGCACAAGCTTGTACACAACACTTGATGCACTGTTCTCTTATCAGCAGGAATGTGTCACACGACAGTATTGAGTATTCAGTATTGAGTATCCAGTATTGAGTAAACGAACCATTCTGCTTTCTACTACCAGGGATTTAAAGTTTGGAACAAAACAACTCTGCGCCTAAAGCTTCAAGCACCAACTTCAATGGCGTGATTGTGCAGCGAGTCGAGCTTTATGGCCAAAGCATGGGATTGTGAAAGCAAGTGTTTGCGCTGACACGTCACCAAAAGTTGTATTTCAGTGTACGCTTCGACTTCTACTGTATGTTTATACGAGGTGCTTTTCCTGTGATATTTAATTTACTGCAGGATTTCTCCCATTGGACTGTGTTTTTATTCTTCCCTCTAGTTTTCCTGGTTATGTAATTAGGAGGACGGCACAATGGACCACTGTCCTGTGTGTGTTAGTGTGCATGATGTGTGCTAGTGTGTGTGCGGGGTTTCGTGCTGCCTGCTCATACAGCTGGACCCTGCTCTCTCCCTGGTAGCCATGTTCCCTGTTACAGTAAAACTGACGTAATGTTTTGGAGCAGCTCGACATCCCCCAATAAAAACAGAGCCGTGTGATGGGAGAGAGCGGTTTTGGACGAGGACATGTTCAAGGGATTTCTCAGGAGCCTCGCTGTGTCTGTCCTTCACATTAAACTATTTATCACATCTTGCAAACGCGCAAATAGTCCTGGGACAGCCCTTTGCCTAATTTTAGGGTTGGTAGTAGTAGATTCCAACCTCTTATGTCACTTGTTTTTCGCCTGTTGCTATTTTCCTTTTTTTTTTTAACCTCCCTCTCTCCTTCTCCGACCAAACCATTCAGCACTTAAGAGAATATTGAATCATGTCGCAGAAAGAAAAATCATTTTTCAACCAATCTTTCAATTACGATCCTGTATGGAAAAGACTTAATGGTTACCAGTGTCGCAGAAACCTGCAATTTCTGGTGATATGTGTCACACAAAGTTTTTTTTACACCCTCCGCACCAAAATATCAGCCTTTGGGAGTTCTGATGTCGAGTCTCGCTCTCTGCTGCCAGCTCTGCAATCTTTTCACTGCTGCTTTCCAAACTCCGAGAGTAAGAGCTGGAGTAGTTTGACATTTTCGTGTGGACGTTGTTGCCGGCCTGGGAAGGTTGCACCATGCTGAGACAGGGGGCAGCTTAGTGCACCCACACTGCACTCTCTGACTTTACAACAAGGTGGGGGGGAGAAAATAAGGAAACATGTTTCCGCAGTAATAACTAAAACACAACTTTGTCCCAGGAATGAATAAACATGACATTACTGCAGCCAGTTTGTCCTGAATGTGCCTTTAAATCCTGCTCCGGCTCTGCTCAGCAGATGGCGCCCCATTCCTCTCACAGTCACTTCTCTCTCTGCTCTCATGGGGGCAGTGTTAACCTGCGGAAACAAGAGGAAACCCACATTCCTGCAGTCTGGGCCCTGGCTCTGACACTGGGAAAAACAAGGGCAGAGAGAAGCTGAGAGTGCTCAGGGGGGAAAAAAAATGAACCAAAGCAAATCTCACTTTGTGTTTCTAATGACTCAACGTGTTGTGCTTTTTAAAAAAATGGGGACACATTTCTGATGTGAGGATTTGGAGGAAGTTTAGTTGTAGCTCAGGTTTGAGACCGTGCTGAAGTGGGTCATATGAGCACAGTGGGCATTAACTCGTCTGTTTTTCCATGTGTAGTAGACTGGAATAGGCGGCGTGTTGCACTGTGGAAGTTGGATTATGCAACGGGCGGATTCTAAAAATTGTGCTGCACTCTGCCTGGACTCCTCTCCGCTCATAGTTGCGGTCTCAGCCCCATCCACAGGGAGAGAGGGATGAAGAGGGAGGGAGAGTTTCCTTCCATTACAAATACATGTGTCAGCTTCCAAGTGTGGTGCTCCAGGGGCCAGAGGATTTGTTGTTGGTGGTTCAAAAACCCAGACTCGTTGCTGCATGGGTGAAGGAGCCTTGGAGCAAGGCACCTCCTCACCTCAGCTTCAGATGGTGGCCCAGATGTGCACTATAAACTGGCTCCTCGCATTGTTTCTCTGCAAGATACGTAACCTCCCTCCTCCCCAAAAAATAACATCCACAAAAATTGGTTGTGTGATTAAAAAGAAAAAAAGTTTTGGAGGGGTGTGAGGAGGAGGAGGAGGAGGAGGAGGAGAGGGGCAGCTGGGGTTAGATTTCAAGGCGTGGTAATGAAGAATAGGCGGCCAACCGGTGAATGGAAGTTTTTTTTCTCAGAGAGGAGGAGATGGAGGCGGCTCCTCGCAACAAAAAAAACTTTGCGCCGACTTCTCTTCGCCCCTCCCTGAGGTGCGCCAAGCGTTTATATTGACGCAGAGGAGGCGAGTGCGCACAGTGAAGCTGTCTGGTTCTGCGCTTCCTGAGGGGGAGGACAAATTTAAAAACACCTACAACTCCAACAGTACCGAACTATTCCCCTCTCCACTCTTTTTCTTCTGCTACGGACTTTTTTTTTCCAGAGGAGGGAGAAGCGAGAAAAACTGAACGCTATCAACCTTTTCAAGCAACTTTTCAAAACAAACTTTTCCACAACCAAAAACCAGTCGTGGCACAAACTACCGCTCGTCGCATTCAGGGATCCTGCTCGGTCCTCCATGAAAGAGGGAGTGCGACTGCAAACTTGGGGAAACGAGATGTCTGCCACCGTGTTGTCAGCTTTCTACGACATGGACATGCTGTACAAGGTAAATATCAGTCTGCACCAGTGTGTTGTAGCTGTGCGCTCCTGGTGAGGCAGCGTGCGTCAGCGTGTGAAGGGGTTCAGCTGCAACAAGTTGGGAAACGCTGTTAAACGCGCCATGTGGTGCACTGATCTGAGATTTGTGTCTGACCCGTGTGTTTTCCCCCAGCAGCAGGATAAGGGCATGAACATGAACGCCCTCCACATAAACAGCATGCTGGACAAGAAGGCGGTGGGCGCCCCGGTCACGACTCCGGGCTCCGGCAGCCCCTTCGCGCCGAGCTTTTTCCGCAGAAATTCGACCAGCAACGTGGAGGCGATGAACAACGGAAACAAGTACAACATGGGCTCCGGCTACGGCAGCCTGAAGGAGAACATGCCGAGCGGCGGCAACAGCAGCAGCGCGACGGCCCTCATGAACAAGGAGAACAAGTTCCGCGACCGAGCCTACAGCGAGAACGGGGAGCGCGGCGTCCTGCAGCAGAAGCCCGGCTCCCAGATCAACTCCACCCGCTACAAGACCGAGCTGTGCCGGCCCTTCGAGGAGAACGGGTCGTGCAAGTATGGGGAGAAATGTCAGTTCGCTCACGGCTACCACGAGTTGAGGAGCTTGTCCCGCCACCCTAAGTACAAAACGGAGCCGTGCCGCACCTTCCACACCATCGGCTTCTGCCCGTACGGCCCCCGGTGTCACTTTATCCACAACGCCGACGAGCGCCGGCCCGCTCCGGTCGCCAACGCCAACATGCAGACGGGGGAGCCCCGGTCGGCCCGCGATCTGTGCGGCTACGGCCAGAGGGACGTCCTGCCGCCGCAGCAGCTCGGCTACACCCAGAGGGACAGACCAAAGCTTCACCACAGCCTCAGCTTCTCCGGCTTCTCCACCCACCACGGACTCGAGTCCCCCCTGCTCGACAGCCCCACGTCCCGGACCCCGCCGCCGCCCACCACCGCCTCCTCCTGCGCCTCTAGCTTCTATGACGAGGTGCTGTCCCCCAACTCTATGTCCTGCATCAACAGTGCCTTCTCCTTCCCCGGGCAGGACCTTAAAGCCTTACTGGCCCCGCTGGCTGTGCACACCCCCGGCGGCTACGCCAACAACCACTCCACCGGTGCCTACTACGGGAACATGCAGAGCAGCGTGTGCCCGCCCTCCCCTCCGACCTACAACATGAGCCACTTGCAGGCGCTGCGCCGCCTCAGCGAGTCGCCGGTGTTCGAGCCTCCTCCCAGCCCGCCAGATTCGCTCTCTGACCGGGAGAGCTATGCGAGCGGGTCCCTCAGCTCTTCCGGGAGCCTCAGCGGCTCCGAGTCACCGAGTCTGGACGCGGGGAGACGGTTGCCAATCTTCAGCAGGCTGTCGATTTCAGATGACTGAACCATGTTTTGTTTCTCAAACGGATTGTATGGACGGGTCAGAGGGGGGGAGGAGGTGGAGGGTGAGGTAGACTGTCCTTCAAGCAGGGGATCCCAGTTGAGAGCCCCCCCCCCCTCACTCGCCCCCTTTTTTCAGCATCATCCACCCTGCTGAAGTGCCTTTGAGCAAGACATTGAGTCCCTCGCAGCTCCAGGGGTGCTGACCCTGCTCTGACCTCCCTGGTGGGGGGCAAGAGAAGCGTCTCACCCACAGGGATCAATAAAGCTTCATCCAGTTTAAAGTGTCCTTGACGAGGCATTAGTGTAGTCTTGTTTTCCTCTATGTAATATAGCTGTATTAAAACTTAGATAGCAAACAGAAGGCATTCCATCAGTGCCTTGCCCAAGGGCTCATGGCAGCCCCCTCTCCCTTTTTGCTCTATCAGGCAAGCCACACTTTTCCTGGGATTAGATGTGTGTGTAACATGACTTGACAAGAAGAAGAGACTAAGCGGTTTCAGATTTCCTCCATCCTGCCAAGAATATGCCTTGACTCAAAGTAACACTTTTTTTTTTCTTTTTTTTTTATCAAAGTGTGTGTCCTTTTTTTTTTCTTTCTTCTTCTCTTCCTCTCTGAAAGCTTCAACTTCCATTCCAGACCTGTCTTCTCCCAGCGCCACCCAGTGGTTCGTTTGGTTAGTCTAGTTTGTTGCTTGGTTAAAAAGCACTCTTGAGTTGGGTTTGTTTGGGGAAATCACTGCTGATGGTTGAATATATATTTTTTTAGCTGTTTTTGAGTGATTTGCATAGCGGTGCATAACTGGCTATGGACTATTTAACTTATTTATTATCTTGTGAAAAAAAGTATAGGCTACATTGGTAATTTGTGTCCATACTGTATTTATCAAGTATGATGAAGCAATAGATCTATATTCTTTTATGTTTAAATTATGATCGCCATTATTAATCTGCATAAAGTGGAGTGTATGTTCTTTTCACAGTAATATATATATTTTGTTTTTTTTTCTCCTTTTTTTGTAACTTCACTTGGTTATTTTTATTGTAAATGAGTAAAAAAAATCTTAATTTAAGAGAACGTATGTGATATTTATTTCATTAATTTTGTTTCCTTGTTTACGTTTATTAAAAAAAAGTTTGCGTGATTGCTGTTTGCTCTTGAGGTTGTGTGTCAGTGCTGTAGAAGGCTTTTTTTTTTTTGGGATCCCTATTTAGATGTATCTGTAGAATGTATAAACAATGTGGTTGTACAGACCGTCCAAACCTTACTTCTTTTCTTGATCTAGATCAGGCTTCAGTGACAAAGAACCCAAGTCAATAAATTAACCAAAAAGTATTTTTTTTTCTTTTTTAAATTTTGTTTTCTCTCTGTTTGCACGAGGTCACACTGTGATTCCAGCCACGTGCTAAAGAATGTAGCAATCCCTTGTGCCCCAGTATTATTGTGTAGTGCCTAAGGGGTTCACCATCTTGACATGCCTTAAAATTAACCAAATAAAGTATTTTTCCTACATGGCATCTTTTTATACACAGGTTGAACTGAATGTAGTGTTGGATTCTGAACTTTTTTTTTAAGGTTGTTACCACTCAGACACTCTGATAAACAACCGTAACTTCTCTCTAAATCCCCATTCCTCTTGTTTTGATTTCCTTTTTTTCTTGTTTTTTCTTTTTTTGATATTGAAATCTAGTCTGAGTCTTGAGTTTGCTGGAGAGGGAAGTGGATAAACACGTTTGGTTTGTACATAGTAGGTACAGGGGGATGCGCACTATGTACTTTTGACTACTTTATCAGAAGTAAAGCTTTTTGAATGTAACAAAAAAAACGGACAAAAAGACAACGAGAGTTGTAATATTTTTTGGGGAGTCAGTTCACTACAAATTGAGTGTGAGACTGTTAACTTTGTACTGTACATTTTTTTTGTAGTTCTCCCAATAAAAATCATTTTTTGAAAAAGCTCCGGACTGTCGAGCCGTGATTTCTGTTTACCCTCAGAGTGAACATTCAACAGGTGTGACACGGCGATCGAAAGCGTGAACTGATGTTCAGGAGTGTGACACTTGTGCTTCTCATGTTGCTCACTTGAATGTATCAGATGTCTCATGACTATAGTCTTCTCCCTCCAGTAGAAAAAGCCGTGGGGCAGACAGGAGGGTGGGGGAGTGTGTGTCCTTGGTACAGCAGAGCCTTTGCTGCCCTGTGACACTATTTGTCCTGGAACCCCCGGGGGTGTTCTTGAGCAGCAGTATTGGCCCATTGTCCTGAGCGTACAGTAAAAACAGAGAGCAGGTAGTTTCCAGTGTGTAAGGAACCGCCTGAATTCCTGTCTCCTGTCCAACAAAGGAAGAACAGCTTAAGTGTCGGTATGTGCCGTGATAAAGGAGAAATCTGATTCTGAGGCGGAAAGCAGCAGCACCACAGAAAGTGATAGCCCCAAATAAAATGTATGCAATATTACATAATGTGTAATGTTGTGCTATAAACAGGGCGGCATGCGATATGCCCGCGCCATCTGAGGAATGAGGGCTGGAATTTTTAAATGGAAAATGTGTTGTGCACTGTGTGTGTGTGTGTGTGTTGCGGTCACAGAAACACCAGTTGAATTGTGTTGGAGGCTCAGGCTGTAAGTCTACCTGGGTGTTTGCCATCAGGATGAGATTTGAATGTTTTCACAAGCTGTACGTTATGACCACCGTGGCGGACACTCAGCATCCTGGCAGAGGAGCCACTTGTAGTTTACATGAAGATGAAGTACTCTAATAACACTGACTTCATTATAAACCAAAAGAGTCTGTACTGAACATTTTACATCCATAAACACAGAATGGCAAACAGTACCTCTGAGAATATAAAGACCTTACAACTTATCGAAACTAAAAAACTGTCCAAATGTAAAAATAACTTTTCAATGAGCAATAAGAAACTGTTTCCCTCCCTTTTTCTTTCACTTTCTCTCCTTTTTGTTTCTGTTATGTATCATTTGTACATAATGTGCTGTTTTTTATCCCTTACTAAAATTCATTTATCTATGTGACTACATATTAAGTTCTTAACAGTTACTTCAGATGGATATTCTCTGTGTTGAGCACATATCTGCAGTACTTGTACACGTTTGTGAATAAAGTAGTTAAATATTTGTATAGTTTATTTTATGAGCTTTCATGAAAAAAAAACATATTTATTCAAAGTAACTGTAGCTGTCAGATCAATCTATTACAGTAAAAAGTACATGCTCCCTCTGAACTGTAGTGCAGTAGACTCCCTGAAGTAGGAGGAAATGAAAATACTCTATGTACAAATTCCTCAAATGTCAACTGAGGTGCAGCACTTGAGTAAACGTGCTTTCTACCTCTGAGGTTGGAAGTGAGCGATGAACACTATAAGCTGTGTGTTCCACTGGCTCAGACATGGATCGGTTCCTGACAAGTGTGACCGATCAGTGAGCTCCGGTCACATCTGACGGATCCTACGTTTTGTTTTGCCCATTGATCCGATGGAGTAATCCATCAGTAACCTTTTATTGCCAGTGATATCCCTGTGCTGCGGGGTCAGACATGGCTGAGATGGATGTATCAGTCTGGGAACTGAACACCAGCCATCAACCCATAACTGATTAACCCCCTAGCTGTAAATGTGTTTCTGCTATCAGGCACTTGAGCAAGTAAAACAGGGACAGTAAGTTTTGCAACTCTCCAGCACGTAACAGGACAAAAAGTGCCTTTCCCCTGCGAACACTGGGGTGTAACATTCGGTCATGTCTAGACCAAATAAAAGCCTGGCCTACATTTGAGCATGAAGCCCCCTTTGTTGCGGTGCTTCAATTTCCCCGAAAAAAGTGTTCTGCGGGCTATTTCGGCAGAGTTATCAGTGGTAGCAAAGGCATTGAGAAAATAAAGGGCCCAGGAGTCATGTGGTGCCTGGAGTTCACACCAAGATAAGGCAGACTGATAAGCGCTCTGGCAAATATTTACTGTGTCCTCAGGATTTCATAATGAAGTGTTTATCAGAGCAGAGCCAAAGGGCCGCACAATGTGCCCGGCCCCGCCAAGTGGGATCCACGTACCTGTGACTCAGTTTGGGTGGGGATGTGAGTGTGTCGGCCAACAAACCCACATGTAATGTTGGGTCGAGTGTGTTCACATTTACATGTTTTCCATAAAAGATGGACTTCTGTGTAAGGATGCAGTGGTGTTGGTGTGTGCACACAGGGGTCTTGCTGGTTAATGGGGTCTGCAGCACCTACAATGAAAGGAAACGCTCCCTGACTTGTGATTAGGGCAGGAAGAGTCCCGCTTCCTGGCCACCACCCATTTCCACCTCTTCTTCGTCCTGCTGTTTTTCCTCCTCCGTCAGTTTCCCCTCTCCTCTGTAGTGGCGGCTCCGAGAAGTTACTATTTGTGTTCCACTGCTGCACTGGGAAGCTCGGCTCGTCCTGGTATTGTTTTGGCATGTTGAAGCCCAGACCTGGGGTCAAGTAGTAACTGCACATCGTTTTTAGACTCTGTTTGAGCGTTCATGGGGGCCAGATGGGTGGCACGTTGCCAGGTAGAAAGTGGAAAGCAGAGGTTGTAAATCATCTTTGTGTCAGAAAACCCAATTAGACTCAGATAATGCCCCAACCTTCCATTTGATCTAACCCCCCCAGGTTTTGTTTTTTGTTGTTTTAGTAATAAAAGATTACAGTGATTTCAGGGAAATCTTCCTCATTAATGAGTTTTAATTGCTGCTTATAATCCAAGCTTGCAGCGGCCCTTAGTCACCAGCATATGGCGAAGCTCCTTTCCAAATCCCTGCTGTATGCTTATCTGTGATTGTCTACTTTATGTGACACTATTCTGCTTTCACAATGAAACAATGTGCAGTACAGTATAATGCGTGTGTGTGTGTGTGTCTTTGTGTGTGAAACTGACTTGAAACCCCACCCAGCTGCTGCTACTGTAAGATTCAAACAAAAAAAAATCAAACAGCAAATGTCCCCTTAGAGGCTAATGTTCTTATTTGATTACTGTTGTAACTTTATGTAATATAAAGGCAGATGATATCTACACAGAGTCTTTCTTAAAGCTGCCAAGAGAGACAAGGCAGAGTTACAGTCTAATGGGAACCAGAGCCAGCAGGAGGTCTGTGGGGACTGAAACTTAAAGCATGGACCTTTGAAACAAATAAACAACACGTTCTTCCTGTTACACAAAGAAAGTTGAATCAATAGTCAAGCAATGGAACAGACCTTTTTTTCTGTTCAATACATGCAGGGGGTTTACTCTTACAGCTTTATTTACTTTAGGGGCTTATGGCAGCTTATGTTAAAGTAAAACGGATCTGGATTATTAGACACATTACAGATTCAGTTTGCAGTGTTATTGACAACTGTTGTACCATGTTTCCCTTTTCACAAAAATATTTGAACGGTTTTACCACAGAAGGTAAAACAGGAAGCAGGTTTTACTTCACCAAGACACACATTTGTTTTTTCCGGCCTTGTCTTCACCAAGTGATCATATCTTTAGCTGCGCTACAATTATTCAGATTACCTTCATGTCATGTAAACAAATATATATATATTGTTTTATCTTATTTCGGTGACTGAGTATTATCTATATTATATATATCACTCACCTGTGCAGCTCCTCTGAGAGAAGTTTATCATATTTCAGCTCTTTGCAAATCTCTGTTTTCTGATCACTCTCACTGCTCTCATTGTGATTTCCAGCACAGACAGCTGTTCGTTCTCAACACAAGACCCACCCAGCACCACACTGCAGACACTGGAGCTGTCAAACGCAGCACTGACAGAAGAGAGAATACCTGTGACTCAGGAGGCAGAGCGGGTCAGCCACAAACCAGAGGATCAGCGGTTTGATCCCCATCTCCCCCAGGATACTGATCCCCACAGTAAGTTCATGAGATGAAAAGACGCTATGTGAAAGTTGTGTTTACAGGTTCAGCTGCCCCGAAAATCAGTAAAAAAACTAAAATGATGGAATACTGTGAAATTGTGCCAGTAAACTGTAAATGCACTTCCTGGCTGTTATTAGTAATATTTTTCCAGGTATTTTTTTTCACTTTGATTCACATGGAAACACACCAGTGAAGAGGTGTATCACCACCGGCTTACAGGAAGCTTCTCCATTTTACAAGAGGGGAAAAGCAAAAAGGAATTCTAATGAATTCTAAAACAGCGTGTGGGTTTTACAGCCACATTACACAGCACTGCTAGTATAGCATTGCTCTGCACCACGTTTTGATGTATTTTGTACTTTTTCTTAATCGACTAGTGACTGGCACTAACATGAACAAACACTTCTGTTAAATCCTCAACAGTTCCACAAGGATAAAGAAGACACTAAACTGATCACACACTGTTTTACCTGATGTAAACATTTATGATGTGGATTCAGTTCATACAGTATCAGACTCTTCTGACAGGATGAGAATCCTATTTCCCCTTTTTTTTTTATTTCACTTCTAACGTTCACCTCACCATGACCCCTGACAGGTCACAGTTTACATTAGCGTTCAGTGTACCATTGTGAGAAGCTAAAAACACAATCTCCACCTTATTTTCAGGAAGCAGCCCTCGGCCCCCGCGCTCAGCTGAGTCGACCTCCCCAGCTGCCGCAAGGTAAGCCAAGGTAAGCCGCAGTGCACAGATGCTGAATAAGGTTATGTTGTTTGCCCAGTGGATGTCCGGTCTGGTGATGGTCAGAGGTGATGGGGGGGAGGAGACCTGTGGGGTTGGCTGAGGCCGGTCACGTTCCGCTGGCTCTGCTTGGTTCGCCATGTTCTTCTCTGTGCAACGCCTGCTGAGCTGTAAATATTTACAGAGCATCTTGTGAGAGGCTTGAGTGTTTACCGCCAATGCTTGTGGCTCTTCAGTGTGTGGCGTGTGTGCATGTGAGTGTATATGAGCAATGCAGAGGAGATGCTTCTCTTGGTCCTTCCACAGAGTAAAGTCTC